CAGCTTTGGAGGGCAGTTGGCTGTCTGTCTTCCCAGAACCCAGCTCTAAGGGATTTGACATTCTCATCTGACTTCTAAGGCCCCCTGCCCCCAGGTACGCATGCCATTCTCTCTCTCTCTCTCTCTCTCTCTCTCTCTCTCTCTCTCTCTCTCTCTCTCTCTCTCTCTCTCTCTCTCCTCCCTCATTCTTCTTAATAGTAAGAACTAAAACTTTCTTCTACTATGACCACAATAAAATAATGAAGAGACTAATTTTCAGGATTTGCAAAATCAACAAATGGGAAAAATCATCAAAATTTGGGAATAAAAGTTCTTCCCCACAACACATCTCAGAAACCTGATTAGATCATAGACAATGACTGTCAGACTGCTCAACAATTGTTACAGGGATTCCTGGTAGGTATGGCTTCAGTATATGTGTTAAACACAGCAAATGCTGGAGATAAACGCAAGGCCTAATAGAAATCTTGAGTAAATGTTTCTTTCATCAAGGTATGAATGCTGACCCAGTGAAGTGGTGTGTACTTCCACTACTGAATTTTCCCACAAACAACATTAACTTTTCTTTTTCTGCTATTAAGCCTACTGTAAAACAATAAATATCAACTCAGGGAAGAAGACAATTAAAGACAAATCCTACAGAAATAGAGAAAATAAAATACAGAGAGACTTTATGGTGATATTCAGAGAAGTTTACAACCTGGAAAGAAGACAGGACAGTGCCAAATGGACCTAAGTCCCCAAAGTGACAGTATAATCATATGTCCTAAGAGTGTACCACTGAGAAGTGAGAGCCCAGCTCATTTGCAGTGAGACAGTTGCTGAATTATCCATATCTTTTATGGATGCTTTGGAACCAATGGTTTTCCAACTAGATGCCCTAGGACCACAACTCTCAGAAAGTTCTCTTGCGGACAAAGGAGAAAATTTGCTCCTCGGAGAGGACACTTCAACTAAAGGGCTGTTCCACACTCACCATTCCTTCCAACTTGTTTGACCTTGACACCCCATTTTATGTAAAACCTTCCAGTGACCTCTTTCTGTGAAATTTCCCTTCATAAAATAAGATCAGGCTACTAGAAAGAATGGGGTTTGAAACTATGCTGAAAATTCGTCCAGCAAATATATTATGAAGCCCATTTCTGTTTCCATTAAAGGACCTGTTTTCTTCAATTTATCTTCCCAATATACAAAAGTTTATAATGCAAAATAAAAAGTATATTTGACTGTTATATTTCTATCTAATTAAAATATTGAACCAATCAAACAAGCACTTATGAGTTTCCATGGCTCAGGTAATGTATGTAGCCCTCTCAATTCCTTGTTATGTATGTACTTTTAGAGCCTAAAATTGAGTAAATTCTCTTCTTGGGTGAATTATCTGCTTAGGAGTTTTTCACATTGACCTTCGTGGTCTCTCAGGGTCTTTGAGTGAGTGGAACTACACCACATTTGAATTTTTTTAAAAAAATGTAATTCATTCTTTTTTTTCTTTCCACCCAGCATGGATAATCAAGAATTCATGGTATTATGGATTTTTAAATGTCAGGAATTGTAAAGCTGTCTTGCCTATTACAGTAAAACTTCATTAGAGGCTATCATGTATTCAAAGTCTCGTATAATTCAAAGCAGCTGTGCATCCCAGCGCCTTCTTCTCCAGATGTGCTATTGTCCCTTAAATAAAAACATCATATGATCCAAGGACTCTATAGTTTCAACCCTTGTTTCTGGGTGTCTGGAATCTTGATTACTGTATCTTAATAACGTCATTATATTCTTTTGCTTTGGAACACAGAAAAAATGGCCCTTCCCCACTGATCCATCTGTCCTTCAGGGCACTGGTTTCTAGTCAAGTAATGATTATTCAAATCTGGATCATATATCCACCTTCCTACCGCCTTATGGTTAGGATTGCACTTCAGAAAAATGCCACAATCACAGTTCTTTATATTGAAAGGTTTTGGTTCATATTAGGTAGGAATCTCCCTGTCCTTCTTCACTGAGCCAAAACATTCACTTATGAATCTGCAATACTTCAACATTTCCTTATTTTATTCAGGAAGGCAAGTATAATTTTCTTAAAGGCAACACACATCCACTGGAATGTGACCTTTTTATAGTTGATTGTCATAAGTAGTGATTTTTTTTAATAAGAAAACTAAGCTTCCATTGATTTTCCTAGAGAAGTTATTTCTGAGACAAATAAGAGCAAGTGATTATGGAAATAAAGGGCATAAATTATGTCCTGTGACAGATCAGGACAGGAGAAAATTATGCGTTGTGTTATCCCATAGTAGCCGAGGACAAACTTAAATCAAGATTAAGATAAAAGCCGATCTCACATCCCTGCAGATGATGCGTTTCTTAGCAGATTGGATTTCTGTGTGAGTCACAATTTTGTGAATCACATTTTACAAAGGAAACGATAAAAAACTGTCTTTACATATCAAAAGAAAAGCTTACAAGACAGCAAGCTCATGGTTTTGGCATACCAACTGCCTGGAGCTGAGAGAGGAGAAAGGGGGTTAGCACAAAGTGTGTTTAGGATTCATGCCACCCACCATCAAGTAGTAGTTTAAGTAGGAAGTAATCAAGAAGAGACCGCAGCAGCTACATTTCAGTTATTCCAGGTTTAGAACAATAAATAATTTTAATCAGGTATGTTCCAAGGAGCAAGTGGCTCTCTATGGCTGAGCCTGAGCAAACACTTTCAGAGCCTGGTAGATACAGAGCACAGACACCCAGCCGTCCATAAGGTCTATAACATCTTAGGGAGAGAGAGGCACATATGCTGTGAAACTTAAGCATGTTGAGCTGGAAAAACAAATATAATTTATTAACACAGTGTCTTTTGCCTACATCAACACAGGTCTCCAAGTGAAGGGTGTGTTGGGTTACTGGTATTGATGAAGGGAGAGCAACTTATGAAAACTTTAGCATCTTCCTTTCTGGAGTCCCACTTCAATACAGCCAGAGAAGTCTTATAACAAAATCTTTTCACTATGGGAGTAACCAAACATCCTGGAAGGAGTCCAGTATGAACCACCTCTCCAGGAGTCTCCAAGGAGAGGTAACATGACATTTAAACTCTCTCTCTCTCTCTCTCTCTCTCTCTCTCTCTCTCTCTCTCTCTCTCTCTCTCTCTCTCTCACACACACACACACACACACACACACACTCACACACACACAGTGTCTACATTTGATGATTAAGTCATTATAACAGTTTGTAGGATGGTAAAGGGATTACTTTCTTATCAGGGCACACAGTCTTGTATACATGTTTCAGGCTTCCATCCATCACTTCAAGGGAGTGTCTGGCCTCTGTAAAGGAGTTGTTTATTATTTGATGGTATAAGACTATGGTGAGGCTGATAATGGACACTGGAATTATAATGGGTGGAAAGAATGAAAGCCAGAGATGTGATTAAGTTCTTACCCCTGATTTACTCAGTCTAAAATCAGTAGCTAAACAATGTGTGTGAATGAGACAAAAATCAAGTTTTACCTTCAAACATTGCTGACACACACTAAAAATAAAACTTGTTGACATCTCAACCCTTCTCTGGGAGTAGACTCAAATGAAAAGTGTCATAGTGGGAGAGATCTGGGTGTCTTCCTTATTGCCACCTGCTTTGCCCCCCCACCAGCCTCCTTCCAGACCGCTGTAGCCCCACACTACCTTTTTGCTGAGCTCTGGCCTCCATGATGCATTAATGTAAACAGAGGGGTCCCTGTTGTGTTCAGCTGTCAGGGTAGCCTCTTTAAGTGGCTGGGATGCTATGCACCAGGCAAGATAGGTTTCTGTGTGCTCAGTGGAGGACAGCTCTCTACAGGTTCTGCCCATGTGTCTGGGAAGAGAGTGAAGTCTGACTTAGCTCAGCGGGCAGCTAAAGACTTCTCTGTATTAAAAGCATAACTCACACTTACTGTAGATGCCATCATTCCTCTGAGGTGCAGAGCGAAATTCACAGTGACAAGAAGAGCTTTCCTTGATGGATAACCCCCCTTTTTGCCAGGAGCCCCAACTAATGAAGTAGGGGAGAAATCCATTCAGTAATTTGGACAGAATTGACAGAGTAATTGAGACACAGTTTCTTTTCTTGAACATTCTTGCCTGTTCAACACCAGCCTGACAGGCAGACTTTGCAATCACCTATTCCTTAATCGTGAAGGCAGTGTACACAACCCCTAATGTGTCCTCAGAGCAGATAAACAATGAGTGTCCAGGAAATTTGCCCTCAAGCTGTTGGAGTAAATAATTCACTTCGGCACTAGGACTGCTGGGCTTAGGGTAGGGGTGGCGGCGTTAAGCCTTGAATTTCAGTCTCAAAGATCTTTGTTAAAAAAAAAAAAACGGGAAGATGAGGTTTTCCTCCCTGGTACTAAAAGCTTTATTCTCCGGGCGGCCTCTTTCCATCCCCAGGTCTTCCCAGCTTGAAGCAGGCAAGACTTATTTGCCCAGATGGGTTAGAAATAATCTAAACACAACTGGTTTTGTTTGTGTGTTTGCCACTAGGGGACTATCAAGAAGTGTCAGATACAGCAACACAAAGGTCGCGGAGTTAAGAGTGCTGTGTCTGGTGGCTGTGCTTGTTGAGTGCACTTTTCTCTCCCGGGCCCTAGGTTGGCATAAAATGGCATCCGTTTCAGTATAAACGCAGCCAAAGCCTGCCGGAGGGAATTTCCGTTGAGCAGTTTTTAAATCACCAGCCTAAGATCTCCGTAGGGGTGCCCGGGAGAGTACTAGTCTGCTTTGGTGTTGTCCCTAGGCTGCACCTCGAAAACCCCCCAACCACCTTCCCAGATCTTCGCACACTTTCCCAGTCTCAGTCCGGCTCAAACTAGGCTCATCCCGAACTCAGCTGGAGAATTCAGAAAGGGCAGTGGGGACAGAAAGGTCCCAGGACAGCACCTCCTGGGGCTGGGAAACAGCAGGGTGTCACTGCGGGAGGGGCTGCCCTCTGCACTCCAGGGCGGGAAGGGCACCCCCACACTCACCTGCGGCTGCGGCTCGGAAGCTGCGGACTGTGTTGCCACCGCGCAGGGGCTGGGGACCCAGGGGCTGCGAGCCTGGTGTCCGGGTGTCCTGAATTCTGCTGCTGCCGCTGTACCTGTCGTAGAGCCACAGCATATGCTGGGACACCTTGTCATGCGGCCGCAGGTCCGGGCTCAGGTCACCACCTGTCTCATGGTCGCCTGCCCCAGCCCTCCGGAGCTCAGGTAGATGAAGGCTCGAACCCTGTCCCTGTGCCAGGTTCAGGTAGAAGCAACCTAGCCACAGACATAGCAACCGGCACGCTCTGGCCATTGCTAGCTCCCGCTGTCGCGCAACGATTCTTCGGGTCGCCTGGGGCACTCGAGAGGCGCAAGGGACGTAGGCAGAGCCCCGGTGGTGCTCCAGCTGCGGAACAGGCGCCTGGAGCGGGGCACAGCTGGAGCGCGGCCCTGGAGGACCGGCAGGTGAACTCTGAGTGGCAGACGCACCCACTCCGCTCCCCTCGAGCACGGGAGGGCTGAAAAAAAGTCTCGGTGTGCACAGCCGGGTTGTCACGCGCGGGCTCTCCCTCCTGCGCCACCTGAGGCTCGGGAACACCCGGCCAAGCGGGATCTGGATCTGCGCTCCACCGGCCTGGACGCACGCTGGGGCGGGGTGTGGGCGCTCCCAGCCAGCTGAGTTCTCAGAGAGGACGTGGTGTGTGTGTGTGTGTGTGTGTGTGTGTGTGTGTGTGTGTGTGTGTGTGTGTGTGTGTTAGTGTTAGACACAGAGACAGACAGAGACAGAGAGAAGCAGACACAGAAAGACACAGAGACAGAGCCACAGAGAAAGACTAGTTCTGTTCCTTCTTCCCCTGATCTAATCTGTCCAGTCCGCCTATGGTCAATTTTCTCCCTCTAGCTTCTAGCTCTCCCTCCCAAGGCAGCTGGGACACGACTCTCTCCAGAAGAGATGCCGGGAGGGAAGTAACAAGGGAACCAGAACCAGAAGGCTGGAGAGAAAGGGGAAGGGAGCACAGGGAGGGGCAGGTGGCTCTGGCAAGGGGAAGCTGGAGGAAGAGTAGGAGGGACTTTAAAAAAAAATCCGTTTGAACATGGTGGCTACATTCCTGCTAACAAAAAGGCAGGAACAAATAGGAGAGTTTCCTCCTTTTCTGCTGTTCGTTGTGGAGGTGTTTGCTACTGTAGTTTTGTGTGTATTCTGATTTAAAATAAAATGCCAGTACGTGAACAGCACACTTGGCTCCTCTCCTGGATCCCTTAGGAGGACTGTGGACTCAGACACCTGCCCATCAACCTGGACCTTAGCCTATCACTGCTCTTCTTTTTCACACACATCCTCATCTTCTTCTGAGGAGAAAAACGAAGTGAAATTGTACCCCAAGGTAAAAAAAAAGTCCAAGTCTATTCTCACCCTACCAGACTCTCTCTTGATGTGTTTCCCTGAGGAATACTGATGTGAGAGCGAGTCACCAGATTCTAAAAGAACCTGGTGTGCAGAGTTGACTTGAATGTAACTAGTTCTGATGTCCCAGCTATTCCCATATCTGCCCTTGTAAAACAGAGATTAAACTGTTGGCTGGTAGTTCTGGCTGCAGATACTGTATACGAGGCAGTTTCTGTCTTCCTCCACCCCAGACAGGGTTTCACTGTGTAGTCACGGTTGGCCTTGAACTTACATTCCACTCTTACTGCTTCGGCCTCCATGGCATTGGATTACAGGTGTGTACTCCCCATCGTGGGCTGTAGGTACTCCTTTCAGAGAGTCATCAACACAAAGCCCACTTTGCAGATGATGAGGCTGGAAGGAAAGGTGATGCCGAATAGGTGCCAGAACTGAACTCCAAACCCAGGGAGCCTGACTGGCTTACAGGCTGTGGTCCCCACAGGCTTAAAGGATGAAAACGACATTTAAACTGGTTTGAACCAACAATCCCTGGGAATGTCCTTGCCACAGTTCCTGGCAACAGCAGAACTATGATTCAGTAACCCTGACAGATAGCTGTCCTGTCTCTGGAGCATGGACTTGTTGGAAACGAAACAGGTTCATAAGTCATACTGAGCCTTCAAATTCCAGTTTCTCCTTTATTGGTGAGTAATAATAAATTCATCTTAGAGTTTTGTTGGAATAACGTTAGAAAGCAGTACTCAATGACTGTCACATGACTTGTCTTTACTAGAGATCCAATTCCTACTCAGAGACTGACACACGACTAGTCTTTGGTAGAAAAACAATTCCTATATGACTAATCTTTAGTAGAGACTTATTCCCTTTCATCCCAAATTATCAAAACTTTATCCCAAAGGCAGACTGTATTCTCCTCATTCTGCCATTTCTCAATCTACTGTTCTGTTGTATGGATTTTGCCCTTAGCCACCCCAGGAACAACCCTGTAGATAATAACACATACTTCAAGAGTAGTCGAGAGGCATCAATGAGATCATGTGGGTGATCTTCGCCCAGCACTGAAAACATAATAGCTTTTGTGATTAATAATGAAAACCTAATTGCAAAATTCAATAGGCACTGGAAACTTACTCTTTGATTTCCCCTGTGAATCTTTGCATTCCCTCCCCTTCCTGCTCTGTTTCAGTTGTATGAAATGTTCTCATGTCTTCATGCTCTGCCTTGAAGCAATGCCAAACTGAGAAGAAAATTCTTGATTCTTCCTCCTTAAGGTGGTCATTGACCTGTCAGCAACTTAAGGTCCTGTCTCATCCAGCCAGAGCCCTCAGTGTGAGAAGCCCATCCTCTTTCACTTAGTATCTCCAAGGACCTGGCTCCCTCATGCCTTTAACTCCAGGGCATGGTGCAGATTTCCACGGCAGTTTGTTGCTGTGTAATTTATACACTTCTTATAATTTATGGAAATGACTGCACACCTTCCATTCCCTTGCTTCTTCCTCGCTTTATGAGCCTTCATTTCTCTGTGCTTGCATTTCTCCTTTGGGCCTAACAGCACACTGCTATAATCCTAGGACCCAGAAGACTGAATACTTGGGGGAATTGTACATTGGAAGCCAGCAAAAGCTATATATGAGTTCAAAGCCACCCTGGTCTACATCATCACAAGACTAAGAAAGACCCTGCCAGAGTAGGGGGGAAGGAGGGGACCAGGAAGGAAGGGAGTGGCTATGAATGATGGTGATTTGGGATGGGGAGGGGAGTGGGGGTGAGGAGAAAATAGTAGCATGGTGTCCAGCACACACTAAATGCTTAGGACGAGTTGGCTAATACCTAGGAGAATTGCCTGTCAGTTTTTGTTGCAAGCAGTCATCAGACCACAACCATCCTTGTATTTTAGTGATCACTTATTAGATTCAAAACAAGGTATGGTGTTAAATGTCTGAAATGATCCTGGTTAGTGGCTTTCAGCTGTAACTCCAAGACTAGCATAGGATCCCAATGTGGAAAACGGGAAATTCAAGAGCAGCGTGTCTAGCAAAGAAAACAGACACCTGTCCCCATCTTCTAAGCAATTCTTAGGAGCTGATTTGAAAGCAAATTGTTCCTCCATCAGCACTCCTGCAGTTGCCACTGGGATACTTCAAGAAATGGGGCAATGTTTTCAGTTGTCAGGGCCGCAGAATCTCAGATCTGGTCATCTAAATTGTTTCAGAATGTTGGTATCTTTTGATGCCTGCTCTCCCCAAACAATAAATAAGCAGATCATAGGCTTGCTCATTCTGGCTAGCCTCCAATTTAGGATTTCTTGATTTACGGAGGTTTCACAGCTTCTCACAAAGAGTAACTTCAGAACTAAATACATCACTGGTACAAATGTCTTGTGTCTGATTTCTCTATTGTGTCAGATTAATTGAGCTGTTTTAATTTTCAATAGTAGGACATTCCACATGTACTAGTGTTACTGTTACAGCCAACCTCTGAGCCAGGGACACGTTCTCCTCTCTTTCCTAAATGCAAGAAAGGGTTTCTAGTAAGTTGCAAACCACAGCAAAACACAATTTGAATTTTAGTGGAGTCTGTTGAGTTGAACTTTACTTTTGGCTGCAAAAACCTAGATCTCTATGTGTGTATGTGCACTATGTATAACTTTTCTTTTAGCATTCTTGGGCACTATGTACATTCATGTGATAAAATCGTCACATTAATTTTGGGGAAGTCCTATGTATATGTCAATAAAGCACTGTTGACCAATAGGGAAACAAGATAGGTGGGACTAGGAGTCCAGGAGGACTCTGGGTAGGAGAAACACAGGGAGTCAAGATGTAACTGCCATAGGGATAAGAAGCCCGGAAACTTCTCTGGTAAGTAAAATACTTAGATTAATAATTATGGGATAAATACTTAAGTCAGAGCTAGCCAGTAAGAAACAAGCAAGGCCAACAGCTTCATAATTAATATAGCCTCCTGTGTGTTTATTTGGGACTGATGTGGCTCTGGAACCAGGCTGGTGGGAAGGCTTCTCTTTACACATCAAAATTCCTTATGAAATGCTCACATATGTGGAACACTATGCATTGACTATGGCATGATCACAGGTGTTTTTAAAATGAGTCCAGTTGTGATAATCTACACAGATTTTCACAAGACTGGGCCCACTAACACTTCTCTGTTGGTGGGAAGGAGTGCTTTTGAGGAGTTTTGGAAGCACAGGAGATCCCATAGCCCTCCCTGAGGATACATAAGTGGTTAATGATTTTTGGGCAAGGGGTCTTGTTGTGAAATTCCAGCATGGATCCCCGTGGTCGCTTCAGAGCCCCCAAATGACACAGAGAGACTCTATTAGTTACAATGTTGCTGGCCAATATCTAGGGCTTCTTATTGGCTAGCTCTGTCTTAAATATTAACCCATAACTACCAATATATACTTCTACAAGGTCTTATCTTACAGAGAACGCCAGACTCATGTGTCCTCTCCTCCCCCCAGGACCACATGGCAACTCCATACTACATTTCCCAGAATCCTCCTTCTCTCATAGTATCGCTTATCTTGCTTCCCTATTGACCAACAGTGTTTTATTCATCAATCAATAAGAGAGACATTTACAGAATGACATCTGCCATCATCTCCTCTTTCCTGCCTAAATAAAAAGAAAGGCTTAACTTTAAAAAAGTCAGATTATATATATAACAAAACAGTTATGAAGTAAGTACTATAGTTACAATATTTAGTCCATTAACATTTAGCAAGATTTAAAGAAAATATGCTATCATCTTTCCTATCTTTGTGAGTCTAAAGTCTTCTATGTAACTTATCTTTCATAATAACTAAGGAAAACTATAGCCATAACTATCTGTCTTCAACTCCTTCAAAAACCACTCTGGAATTGACAGAGACAACTCACTTCCTGGCCACTCACCAGAAGTTCTTCTGTAATGTTTCTTCTTCAGCCCATAGACCGTAGTGTGTCTGGCAGACTCCTCGGCAAATTAGGAAACTTCAAACTGTCTGCCTGTATTGGCAGGTTGACAGTTATTTTTCTCTATTTCCTGTAGCATGTCTGGGAAACTCTTCTATGAATCAGGAACCCTTCAGTACTGTCCTGCTTTGACAAAGTTAGCAGTCACTTTCCTGTGGGTTTTGTAAGTCCACTCTATCAAACTGTCCAGGCAAGAGGAGTATCTTGCCCAAATGTCTAATCTTGCCATGTTGAAGACAAACTCCATATTGAGTTTCTTCAATGCCCATCCTCCTTTCAGATACAATTGGTGTACCAAGAGCAGTTGTCTCAGTGTCAAAAAAAAAACCCTAAATCACTTTAAATGCCATATTATGTAGGTCTTTGAAAGGTTTGAAGAATGCCTATCCAATTGAAATATATCTCTATATATCTAGAAAACCTAAGTAACCTAACTATAAGTTTTGGTTATTATAGGTAACAATCTATAATCTGTATTGCATTATACATTACATTTGTAAATGAGTTACACAAACACAATACCTAAACAAGAGGAAATATATGTGTGTGTGTATATATATATGTATATATATATATATATCAAAATTGACCTTAAATTTGCATCAATTCCAATACAAAGTATTCATTCTATACCATAACTTCCTTATTACCTTAAAAAAAGGTCGGTTGTGATCATTAACCTTTTAACCAACACCATTTAAGTGAA